AAGCATATTTATTTTAATAGAAAAAAGCAGGAGCTTCAGGGAGTTACATATTTAATTCAGAGTTTGGAGAGCAACAAACTGAATTCAAGATGAAAATGGCCTGGAGTCCAGAATAACACACTTGAGTGCAAAATGAGATTAAAATATGGATGCAAGAAAATGGCATGGGAAATGATTGGTGGATTATTTGCCATCAGCTCTTACCAACTACAAAAAGGTAATCCTCGATTTACAACCAAAGCTGGGACCAGAATTTCTATTGCTAAGCAAGTTATATCACATGACCAAGATACTTAGTGACAGCAATACCGACAGTTATCAACAATGGAGAATCTTGGATTGTTAAGTGAATATGCATCCCACTTCAATAGCCTATGTCCTCTGTCTATGCTTTTTGGCCCCTGCCATTCTGCAGTCCATTGCTCCAGCTGAAACTCAACATCTTTTTGCTCCTGCTACTCACTAGGCATGCTCAGCCTTCCCCTTCACCCCAAGAATTCCTTTTGCCCTGCACTGAACTGGGCTTCCTAAACTGCCATGGATCTGGCTCTGCTTCTTGCTTGCTTCTGCTTTTTGCAGTGCCCTGGGGTGGGTCTGGACATCTTGGCACTACATGAGCCAAGGGAGGCATGGAGCAGGGGTGAGAACAACTTATCTTTGCTACCAGTTTGCAAATGTCACCTTCCACGCATGCACCGAGCATCAAAAATGGGACATGACAACATCCAGGTGGGTGGGCGGAGGCTCCTCCCAATGCTATCCGGCATGGAGCCAAAGTAAATAGACAGGAGGGAGATACGCAGGTGAGAGGAGTGGGAGGCAGTCCCTTACCTGAGACTAAGGACTGGGAAGGATTAAGCTGAGAATGGCTTGGATTGGAGTGGGTACTCGCTTAACGACTCAAGATTGCCATTTAATGATGGCAATAGCAAGTGTCAGGATTGCTGTTAAGCATTGCTGTCATTTGATGTCTTGCTTTACAACCACATCACTTAGTAATGAAAATTCTGTTCCCAATTTTGGTCCCAAGTTGAAGGTTATCTTTATATAGTTGGTAGGAGCTGATGGCACGCACTGTAATTCATCAATCATTTCCCATGCCATTTTCTTATGTCCATGCTTTTATCTCATTCTGCACTCAGTATGCTACTCTTCAGACTCCAGGCTATTTTCCCCTTGAATTCAGTTTGTTGGTCTCCAAGGTCTGAATTAAATGTTACTCCTTGAAGCTCCTGCTTTTGTCTCATTAAAATAAACATGCTACTCTC